ACATACATACATACATACATACATACATACATACATACATACATACATACATACAGAACAATTTAACAATTTTTCAGCAACTAGCAGAAAGAGTCCTATCAGAGAGCCAATGCAGTTTCAGATCAAACCGCTCAACAATGGACATTATCTTTTCTATTTCTCAGCTACAAGAAAAATGCAGGGAGCAACAACTGCCATTAGATACTGCATTCGTCGATCTGACAAAGGCTTTAGATACAGTCAGTAGATCAAGACTGTACATGGTGCTTGGACAAATTGGCTGTACCCCAATACTGCCACAGCTCATCATCTCATTCCACAAAGATATGAAGGCCACCATTCAGTTTGAAGGTTCAACATCAAACAGATTCAATATCAATAGCGGAGTAAAGCAAGGTTGTGTCTTAGTACCAACCCTTTTTAGCACTTACTTTGCTTTCTAACTGCAACACACATTCAAAGAGTCACCAGGGGATGTTTCCCTCCACTGGAAAACTGATAGGTCACTCTTCAGTCTTGCTCGACTCCAGGCCAAGAACAAGATCAACAAAACAACAGTACGAGACCTTCTCTTCGCCGATGATGCTGCTCTTGTTGCTCACAGTGAATCAACCCTACAAACAATGATGGATCGCCTATCAACAGCATGCAAGGTCTTTAGTTTGGTCATCAGTGTTAAGAAAACAGTCATCCTTACCCAAGAAGGTGCAGAGTAGAGTCATATATGGCTGAACGACAAGGAACTTGAGACAGTAGACAAGTTCTGTTACCTGGGGTCTACCATCAGCTCTACTATATCACTTGATGATGAGATCAACATCAGAATAGGGAAAGCAGCAACAACTTTTGGAAGGCTGACAAAACGAGCATGGGGAAACAAAAGATTAACCATCAAAACAAAGATCAAGATTTACGAAGCATGTGTCCTCAGCACACCCCTTTATGGATCTGAAATATGGAAATTGTACAGCAGGTAGGAAAAGCGCCTCGACATTCTCCATCTCAGATGTTGCCGCAAGATCTTAGGCATCTCGTGGCGTTGCAAGGTTACAAATTTTAATGTTGAAGTGTTGGCACGGGCAAACCTCCAGAGCATTACAACTATCCTGAGTTTAAAAAATTGAGATGGCTGTGCCATGTCAAGAGAATGGACGACAACCGGATTCCGAAGCAACTTCTCTGTGGAGAACTTGCCCAGGGAAAGAGAACAAGAGGAAAACCAAAATTGAGGTACAAAGACACCTGCAAAAACAGCTTATCTAAGCTTGGAGTAGATGTTAGCATCTGGAAAGAAATAGCTGAGGCCAGAAAAACATGGAGGAAAATGATAAAGGAAAGAACTATAATGCTAGAAAACAGCCTTAGAAACAACCAGGCTGAGAAGCGCCAACGACGAAGGGAAAACAGCCGAAATACAAAGTTTCCATCCACGTCACTGACATGCAAGCAATACGACAGAATCTGCGCTTCAAACATTGGAAGAGTTAGCATTGAAAGAAGCTGCATGAAGACAACCTTGAGACCATTTTCAGCTAAATTTACCGTCTGCATAGACGAAAAGAGCCATACATTACACCAGTACAGAACAATTTAACAACCATGACATTGCTGGTCGCCACTGTGCAGCGCCCTGTTTTTCAGCTATTGCTTAGTTTGACTGACAAAATGGTCCATCGGCTTTCATGGGGGGGTTTTTTGGCTTTTAAGTAGGACCATGCAAATTATCAAAAGGGGGAAAACAGTCATTGTTTATAAAACACTCGTTTTGCAAAGGAAGAACTATTCAAGAAAACCGAATGAGTTTCAGAGACATTATCATTGTTCTTGATAATGAATTAAAGAGAACTTCACCTTTCTTCTGACTTAATCTGTTTATCTTGAGTTATTTACACTTTGAGACACCTAGCGAACTGTGAGAATAGTATGCCACGAAAAAAAAAAGAAACACACTTGCAGTTTGAAAATCGGACACGACTACACCATTTCAGAAAAATCTTACAAGAATGGCTCTCGCCTTTTAACAAAATCTGCAGAATCGAACAAGTGTGCACTCTACTGTAGAGCAGAGAACCCAACTGGAAACTGAGATGGGAACGAGCCGCAAATCTTGTGGACGGTCTGTGGCACGGACACATTGTTTGTTGTGCCCTTCTGCCGGTAACACTTCAACGACAGTTTAGCGAACGAAACATCTTTCTCTTTCTTGTCTTGTTTTTGTTTTGAGATACTATCCAAGGGCTCTCACAAGTTACTTGAGCATATTTTCCGCCTATAAAAGAAGTTGAATTAACAATGGGAATAATGGAAGTTAGTATCATAGATCGTTAAAAAAAACGTTGCTGAAAACTTTAATTGAATTCTAAACACGTTCAGAAATGATGACTGTGTCAAGCTCCATATATTTTGAGACTTAGAACAAAAACCCTCTCATGAAAAAGGATAGATGTAAAAAATGAACACTGCAAGAGAAAAAAAATAATAATTCGAGAACCTATGGTATATTACAGGCCAAGAATGGTATTTTTGTGAGGGTGGAACAGGCATATTTAAGACACTCACCAATTTCTATCGCGTGACCATTTGCCATCGTTTATTTCTTTTGTATTGGATTCATGGGACCAAAACCTGCACAGGTGAGGAAAAAGTTAAGGTGTTGTAAGCTTATGTGTTAGCATGTCCTATTCTGTGAAAGAACATATTATCGTCGCCGTCATTAAGAATTACAGCCTGCCATTTTTTTTTAGAAAATGAAAGTCAAGTATGTTTTGGAATTCGACGAAGCGCACCAATTGGTCTTAGTCTCAGTCGTATTAAAATAGTAAGAAATTTGGACCAACTCAACGTTCTGTAATAAGATAATGTTCTGCCCAAAATGTTTGCTGATCCTGAAAACCTTGCATTTTGGTGTACGACAATATTGAACGACTGGGTCGTTATAGTGAACATGGGCACGATATTGTCACAGTAAATAAAGACTTTGGGGCTTCATATTATCACGGTTTTATGCCCCATTCAACACGGAATGGTTGTTTAGAAGGCAGACTTTCCACTTATAGTCTGTAAGAACATGGAGCAGAGCCAAACCGATGGGGAAAGATGGAAACTCCTCAAACTACATTAAACTCAGAGCGAACTGTTGGGGGTTTTAATCAGGGCTGCCTTCATCACAGTCAAATAAAAGGGCTAGGCGGGTTGGGAGTTGGGTGGGGGGGAGAGGTAACATGGTACCATTTTAAACTTCCTCACAATTGTTGCAGATCGCAAAGTTAAAGAATCTGTGACTCTCGTTATGCCCTTATATTCATGTTACAAGAAAATTCGGAAGATACCTAGACGCCTACGCATTTCAGAGAGTAGCAAGTGTCCACCCCATTTAATGGCAAGCAGAGAGGGGGGGGGGATAGGAAATCCTTTTTTATTACATATGTTCGTGTGTGTCTGTGCATGTGTGTGAGTGTGTGTGTGTGTGTGTGTGTGTGTGTGTGTGTGTGTGTGTGTGTGTGTGTGTGTGTGTTTGCGTAAGAGAGAGAGAAAGAGAGAGAGAAAGAGAGAGAGAAAGAGAGAGAGAGAAAGAGAGAGAGAAAGAAAGAAAGAGAGAAGGGAGAAAGAGAGAGAGAGAGACAGACAGGGAGAGAGGGAGAGAGGGAGAGAGAGGGGGGCAGACAGACAGACAGACAGACAGACAGACAGACAGACAGACAGACAGACAGACAGACACAGGAATGAAGAGAGAGGGGAGATAGAGGGAAAGACAGAGAAAAAGAAAGAGAGAGGGAATGAGCGAGAGCGAAAGAGAGAGGGGGAACGGGAGAGAGAGAGGGAGAGAGAGAGAGAGAGAGAGAGAGAGAGAGAGAGAGAGAGAGAGAGAGAAGGGGGGGGGCAAGAGAAGAGAAGAGAAAAGAAGTGAAGAGAAGACAACGGAATAATTATTATGGTGTGTTGGTTTGAAATATTGTGCCTTAAAAGAGAAAGAGAGGGAGAGAGAGAAAGAAAGAGAGAGATAGAGAGAGAAAGAGAGAGAGAAATGAGAAAGAGACAGAGACAGAGAGAGAGAAAAAGAGACAGACAGACAGGCAGACTGACAGACAGACCCGACAGACTGACAGTCACACGGATGAAGAGAGAGTGGAGATAGAGGGAACGACAGAGATAAAGAAAGAGAGATGGAAAGAGCGAGAGCGAGAGAGGCAGACACACACAGAGAGAGAGAGAGAGAGAGAGAGAGAGAGAGAGAGAGAGAGAGAAAGAGAGAGAGAGAGAGAACAGAAAGAAGAGAAAGGAATATGTGTGTCTTAAAAGAGAAAGGGAAGGAGAGATGGAGGGAGAGAGGGAGAGAGGGAGAGGGAGAGAGAGAAACAGAAAGAGAGAGAGGGGAGGGAGAGAGAGAAACAGAAAGAGAGAGAGGGGAGGGAGAGAGAGGGGAGAGAGAGAGAGAGAGAGAGAGAGAGAGAGAGAGAGAGAGAGAGAGCGAGAGCGAAATGAAGAAATAAACAGACTCACGGATGGAGAGAGGGTAGGGAGAGAAGGAAGGAGAGAGAGGGAAAGAGATAGAGAGGAAAGGAGAGAGAGAGAGAGAAAGCGGGTGAGAGAGAGGGAGAGAGAGAGAGAGAGAGAGAGAGAGAGAGAGAGGGGGGGGGAGAAGACAAGAGAAGAGAAAAGAAGAGAAGAGATGAGAAAAGAATATTATAGTGTACTGATTTGAAATATTGTGTGTCTTAAAAGTCGGTGAACGTACACTCGAATCTCCTTCCAAAGGAGGGTAAATACAAATAAACATCATATTTTCCGTTTTGCAAAGCTGAGATTTTCAAAATTATGTTCCAGTATGGTTCTTAGCTACCTCAGTTCTATCTGCTCAGTATCGAATTTTGATAAATTAGATTTTGTGTTTCACATCATGTCTAGATTTTTAAAATGCAATTCTTTGAATATCTTGATAACGGCTCAGACTAATCTTACGATTGTGATAGAGCTGATAGAACATTTGGTATCTGACCTGATGCTCTTAGTAACTCAAAATAACCGAAGATGTCAGATAGAACTTTGTAATTCTGAGGCGGCGACTTGTTCTTTGAGACATTGAGCTTGCCTTGAGCTCTACAATAAATGTGTATTACTGTAATTTAGATGTGCCGCGAGAACCCAGGCCATAACAAGCGGGCTTATTCAGAAAAAGGAGGGCATGCATATATTCATAATGGACAGGTTGGGGGGCTCTCGTGGTCTGGGAGCTTACTGTGTTCGCTTCTCATTCAATAGGTCCCGGGTTCGAAACCTGACACCGACGGAAATTGTTCTCCTTTCACCTTCTTATCTGCTCTCTAACCATAATATTCTGTCGTCTGCTTTCGTCTCCACCTTCTGCCCCTTCCCCCCTCCCCTTTGCCCCCTCCTTTGGGTTCCTGACTCTTTTTGCAGCCTTTCTATTGCTACTCATTGGCTCCTTCTTACTGCTGCCTTTCGGCCACAAACCTGATCTTTGATAGGTAAGATCTAATACCTAGCTGCCTTCTCGGATAAGGGCGAAAAATCTAGGAGGTCCCGTGTGCAAGTTAGGCACGTTAAAGATCCCTTGGTGGTCCTAAAATCAATGAGAGTAGGCTTTAGCCGCCCCCCTGGCAAAATTCAAAATGAATAATTCCTCCCAGCCTGACTCAGCCCAGTGACAGAAACTATGCAATGTTTGATCCATGATAAGAGATAAGTGCACAACCTGTACTTTTTGCATTGTGGAAACTTCAATTAACAAATGAGTGTTTTATATGATGCGATGTGGACCAATGGCCTTATAAACTTACTTACTTTCTTTAAAAATTCAAACAAAATCCGTTCAATTATTGTCGTCTTGGAAAATTGAGTCTACATATACAAGCTTGAGATAAAAGAAAATATCACCTCTCATTTTTAAACCAAATTATGTTTTCCAGAAAAACAGATATTATAGAACATTTCGCGTACAGTTTTAGATATCATCATTCACTTAATTTCCAGAAAGACTAGTCTTGTACACGATAGATTCAAATGTTCGAAAGATATGTATGATATATATTATATATACATTACAGGAAGAAAATGTTTCGTAATGTTGTTAAGGCCACCAACAGAAAATGATACAACCCCCCCCCCCCCTTTACATCGTTTGATCTATAAGCCTGTGAGTTGTACTACCAACTACTTTTGATTCACTAAAAGGAAACAAAAAAGGGAAGAGGTGGGGGAAGCTGTAGTTTGAGACTGAAGCAAGAAAAACATTTATACATGTATACAAAGGATGGTAGAGGGTGGGAAAGGCCAAAAGGTAGCGAGATTAGGGTAACATGAAGGGGTGGGGGTGTATGTGTGTGTGTGTGTATGTGTGTGTGTGTGTGAGAGAGAGAGAGAGAGAGAGAGCGAGAGAGAGGGAGAGAGAGAGAGAGAGAGCAAAGAGATAGACAAAGAGAGAAAAGGGAGAACATGAGAGAGACACAGAGAGAGAGAGAGACCGAAAGACAGCGAGAGATTGAGAAAGAAAGAAAAAGAGAAGGAAAGGGAGAGAGAGGGGAGAGGGATAGAGAGAGAGAGAGCGAGATAAAGAGAGCGTATCTGTGTGTCTATGTGTGTGTGTGTGAAAGAGAGAGAGAGAGAGAAAGAGAGAGAGAGAGAGAGTGTGTGTGTGTGTGTGTG